ATTGGGAGGCGGCTATATATATATATGTATATAATTCAACATTAAATAATAATAACTATAGTTGTTGAGTGACCTAAAAGTTTCCAACTACAATTGGATTATATCAATGATAATAATGAATTCATGTATATATATTTATTTAGTTACAGACATATTTATAAAGAATATTCAAATTAAGGTTGGTGAAAGCTTTTTGACGCGAGGTTTATAGAGGACCGACTGGTCCTCAAAAGGAGGGGGCCTACATCTCCTCCCTTTCCCTTCTCCCCCCTTTCCCTCTTTTCTTCTTAGCACCTTCATAATATAAATTTTTTCAAATCAGAATTTCTGAATATTTTTATTACTCTTTCCTAAATTTGAATTTCCAAATTAAAATTTTGGAGTATTTTATTCCTTTCATAAATTTAAATTTTCATTATAATCTCTTTCCTAAACTGAATTTCTAAATCAAAATTTTTGAATATTTTATTCCTCTTTCCTAAATCTGAAATCCTTATTTGATTCTTTTTTCTTATTTTAAATATTGTCTAAAATAAAGTCTTAGCCTCATTATAAATAGAGAATGATGTGCTTAGAGTTGGGTCTTGTTTTGATGTCTAAATTCAAGTTTTAATCTTGGTATTTTCCCTTCGAGGGTTGTATCTGACGTAGAGGTTGGACTCCGACTATCCCTCGTCTGGGGTGGTGATCATCTCCACGGGTCCAGGTGGTGCTCCGACTGTAGCTCGACCCTACCAAGATATTTATCTATATTTCCACCCTTCCCGTTGTTGTCCGTCCGCTCCCCAACCCTACAGTAGGCTGCCACAGCCCCCTACTCTTCATACAGGCTATTACAACCCTTCAGCCACCAGCAGACCACCACCCCTCCTCTTCTAGCAGGCTGTCTCAGCCCTTCAACCACCTGCAATCTCCTTTCCTACAGCTCCCCTGCATGCCGCAGCTACTGCAGCCCTTCAGCCCCTCCCTACCGCAGCCCCAGCTGCTCTTTCCAGCTACAGTTCGGTGCCTTGATGATCACTGGTTTGTTGTCTTACTTCTTCCACAGCCGTCCGACATCTCTCTGATCTTCACTGCAACCACCGATCTAGCACCACCTCTTCGGACTTCCTCCTCGTCAGCTTGTTGTGTCTCCTTTTGTCGAGTCTTTATTTGTAATCCTTTATTTTACACTTTTCCTTTGTGTATTGTCTTTCCTTCTTTTAAGTCTTTTATTATAACCTTGTTTAAGTCCTTAGTAAAATTGTGTCTTGTGTAGTGGTTTGGGTTAAACTCCGGTATCACTTTTATAAATGATATAATTCTACTTTACATCCAATGAAATAAAAAAAAAATTAAATTAATGAAGAAAATATTTAGAAGAAAGAACACTTAAAATTAGTATAATAAAGATGAACATACAATCTGCAATTTTAATAAAATCCATTCAAATAACTATCAATTAATACAATTAAACTATAAGGTGATACTATCACAACCCGACACTGAAGCTTGGAATTATCAAAATGGGAACTGTCAATCGGACATAGAAAAACTATCATATTATAAAAAGCCATAAAAAGCCACAAACAGAACCATAAACTCAATCTAGGTTGCAGCCCTGATTGGTTACCAGAGAGCAAAATGTTTTTTTTTTAACAAAAAAAGTAGTGCAATATCCTAGGATATTAATACATAAGATAGACCACCATCATTATCAGCCTTATCCCACTTATTTGGAATCAGTAGCATGAATCCACTTTTTTATCTTATTGTTTAATTTGTTTTCTGACATATAAACCTAAAGGATTTAGATAGAAAAAATAATTTATGATATGATGCACATTATAAGATCTGAAGTATATAAAACACATACCCTTGAAAGTTTAGCTTTAGTTAATATATTATAAATACTTTAGAAAGCTTGGAGAAATAATGACTAAACAAAATAATCTTGAATAAGAAAAAAATAGGTCAGAAAAACTAACCAGAGGCTCACTGGGAATAGAAACAAATCGTGGAGCTTCTCTCACGTACTCTTCCATGGTAGCAAGAAATGACCGTGGAGGCTGAAAAATAGACAGAAAAATAATTCAAAAATGAATTAAATCAACCACTTATGGGAGAGAACACCATGGTAAAGTTGAATAGAAGAATTAGTTTTACCTCTCTTAAATTCGGAAATTGGAAATTTCTAGCAAGTTGTAATCCTCTGCACACCTCATAAAATTCAGAGAGACTTGCAGCCTGTAAGGCCATCAATGTTTTATCAAAATAATTCATGAGACAGTCCACATATTCTCAAATGAGAAAAGATGGTTGCACACCTGTTGACCAGCCCTTCGGTAGACCTCAAGGGCTTTAACAGCCTCGTGTCTTGGCATTTCAAAGAACTATAGCGGCAGAGTACCAAAAAAAGTGAGGCATTTACATACTACCATACAATTCTATGTATATACATATGTGACAACTAAACTTTCATATTGACATGCATAACACTCAAATCTTTACATCACATCAAAAATACCACAATTATTAACTTTTTTTAAGTTAAGTACAACTTTTCATGCATAAGTTTATAACACCAAGGTGATTGTTGTAAATAACGAAACTTAGGTGTTAGATATGTAAATACATAAAAATTGTGTGGTATGTGTGTAAATTTCCCAAAAAAAAAAACATAAAAAATCTTCAATGCATTGACCAATTCAACCATAATAAACATTAAAAAAAAAGAGACATTTACATGCATAGAACACAATTCTTATGTATTTACATATCTCACACCTAAACTTCCATATTTACACACATAGCTGTCAAATATATACTATCACATCGAAAGTAACACTATTACCACTTTTAAAAGTGAAATATACATATTCATGCATAAATTTAAAGCACCAAAGTGCTATGTATAAAAATATGAAAGTATGTGTGAGATATGCAAATACATAAGAACTATGTGCTATGCGTGTGAAATTGCCCCCTCAAAAAAACATACTTTTTTACCTTATCAACAAGGTTGATGATACCATCATTAATAGCACAATATATTTTAAAACTCTCTTTCAAAACCTGCCCACAGAAGACATGACAAAATCACAAATACACATTTAAATAAAACAACTCTTACAACATTACAACATTATACATCCTCAAATAACATAAACAAGAATGAAAAATGAAGAACATGAAAGCAGATTTCTTGAAACACTAGTGCGTCAACATACAGTAAGTTAATAGCATAAAATTCACATGGAAACAAGATGCAGAAGATCAAATTGTCATAGATCTACAGTAAATAAAACGATTAAGCATATGGGAAGTGACAATATTAACTTCTACCATGACAAAATAATTATACCAAAATAAAAACTAAGTAGCTAAAAGAATTTGCCTAAACACAGGAACGATATAAACAAACAAATTCCTTCTTATTCTAATTTTTAAATTATTTTCTGGAATTTCTAGTCCTTTTTAAAGATTATTTTCTTTTAAAATTAAATGATATGACTTTTAGAACTAAATTAGATTTCCACTTCAATATTGTTTAGATTAGTTATAGAAAGTAAATATCTAATGGTTGTATATTAGGAAGCTTAATTATTAGAAGTCTAAAATTATTAGAAGTCTAATAAATGTATTTTTAATATTAGCTAACATAATTAGAGGAGATCTAATTACATGATATTTCCTTTATTAGAGATATTCTTAATATATTGAGATTGGAGTGTATATAAATATGAAAATATATTTTCAATTAAGAAATTAGAGAAGGAATTGCTCCTTTACATGGTATTAGAGCCATCCCTTGCTCTCTCCGGTCGTAGCAGTTCCTACCTCGCTCCGGTCACGACCAATCCTAGCTCACTCCGGTCACGGTCATTCCTAGCTCGCTCCGGTTTTGGTCAGTTCAAGGTTGTTCCTGAGTCTCCATTTAAGTTGTAGCCCTCTCTATGACGCTAGTCCGTAAAAGTCGTCCCTAGCTCGCTCTGGTTGCGACTTCCATTGTTCAGTTCGAAGCAAAGGTGATAGGGTTTCGAGCCCCAGCCAACACTCATCTCTTCCATTCAAACAGATCGGCTCACTTTTCTCTTCTGCTTAAGTAGATGGCTGATCCATTCGAACAAATTGAACGCTCCATCGGAAGGTCCAGTTCGATTTCCATTGAACAGTCGATTTCTTTTGTTCGTTTACTGCGACCTCTCACAACTCTTTTGGTAATGGAGAGTCATCTTCTCTTCTTTTGGCATCGTTTCGTTAGTGCCATCATGTTGAGAAGTCCATCTGTAAGCGATTCAGCTTATTGGTTTACTCGCAACTGACAACAAGATTACACTATTATTGGGATTATTTGATTCATTCTCATTGAAAATTTAATGATATAATCATGAATGGTAAACAAAACCATGCTATGATAAGTTTGATTTCATCAGTGACTAAAATTACTGACAAAAAATTAAATGGCGTCAATTATTTTTATTGGAAAAAATTGTGAGACTCTACTTGAGAAGTGTTTCTTAAGAGAGTCCCTCATCGATACTCCCCCAACAGAGATTGATCTGGATTAATTTGAGTGGATGTGAGTTGATGCCCCCTTTTTTGTTATGGATTTACACTTCTAGAAGGTTTTTGTTAATGTTGTGCAGAGATCGTACGTACATTTGACTTTCAAAAAAAAAAAAAAAAAAAAAAAAAGGCCCAAAAGCGACGTGGCCACGCCACCATATCGTCACAAGCGACATGACCACGCCACAAATGGGCGTGACCACATCAACAATTTGGAGGGCCGGCGTGACCACGCTGGGATCAGGTGTGACCACGCCACCCGATCCAGGTGTCTGGTGCGAACACGCCGACGGAGCGAAAAATTATTTTGGAAAGATTTTTCTTACAAAATTCAAGAATTGGGCTATAAAAATAAAGCTTCAGGGCATCATAAAAATTAGACATTGGGAGGCGGCTAGAGACAACATTTGAAGACTTGAGAGCTCTCCCTTGAGGATGATCTTCCTTGCTTAAGGTTGAGGTCCCAAGGGCTATTTATCTTCTTTTTTCTTTGTATTTTCTTATGTTATTTGGAGAGAATTGTATGAGAGAAGGAATTTTTGTTGTGAAAGAGGAAACAATCATCTTGTAAGTTTTTACTTTCGAGTTATGCTTGCAATAATGATTCCAGTAGATTTGTTTTCTCTAGTTCTTTCGATCATGCGTGGCTAATTTCCTTTTCGTGTCTCAATGATATATGGATTGTGATTTTCGTGATTATTTTGGATAATTTCTTTTCCTATATAGTTTTCTTGAGGAATAAGGTTTTATTGTTGTTGTGTTAACCATAAAGTTTCATTTATTCATGATCTGGTCAATTAAGATGTTAACATATTTTATGATTTGTGACTCATGCCCGTTTCGTAGAAAAACAAAATGATTAACCACAAAATATGAGTAATAATAAGCATATTTTATCTGAAATTTTAAACCTAGAAAGGGGATCGAAAAAGTATTGCAGAATGTCATGTGGATTGAGGAAGCCTCAACTTCATGGATTCTAGCCTTCTTTTGACCTCGGCATAGGTATAAGGAGGGCATTGATCCCTGTTGACAACCATCACGTAGAGGAAAGTCAAAAAAGACCATGAACCACCCCAATACCTGAATCACAAAGGCGCGAGCCTCACATCTCTTGAAAAATCTTAAGATTTCTCTGCTATAATTTTTCTTTGTTTTCCAACATCGCATTTTTTATTTCTATGTTTAAGTAGGATTTTAGAAATTTATCAATTTTTTTATCACATTAAATTAGGTTTAAAAGTTTAATAAACTAGATATTCGCTTTCCAAAATAATTTTTAGCACTTTCCTCGTGGGATTAATACGCAGTACACTTTAACCGCATCATTACTTGACACTTATACTTACATGATTGACTGACTTGCTTCATCGCAACTTTTTAGCTATCAGTCGTCCCCTCCTTTGCCTTCCAATCTGCAGCCGCCAACTTCAACTCCTCAATCCCTGTAGGTCGCAACCTTCGACCTTCCCACCTACTGCCTTATCTCCTTTCCCACGACCTAACCTATTGTCTTAGACCCATCTCCAGCCCTCCTACTCCTGCCGCCACCCTCAACCTACCTTCCCGCAGCTGTCTCAATCCCAACCTGCATCCCTTTTGCGGTTCAGCCACCACCTACCACCCTCATATTTATCCTAGGGTGTTGTGTGTGTTGTTGTGCTGTTATTTATGTTATGAGAACCCTGTTATTGTTGCTTTCCCCTATCTTGTAATAATATTGTGTTTGCTGCATTTTAGATTAAACCTGGTATCAACAACAATGGATGAGGCACATAGCCACAAGGATCAGTGGTTCAACTACAAGGATTTGAAGGCACCTAGCTGCTAAAGTCGCATATCAGTAAAAATAAAAGAAAAATTAAGAAAAAAACATATATTTAACCCTAAAAGAACTTGTACGTAAGAAAAAACCCTAAAGTGGCGACAATATTGAAGTTCTAAATGAAGCCTGTATCTTGACATTAAAAGTGATGCTAGGGCCCATCACAATCAACTTAATTGCAAATAAGACTTATAAATGAAGCATAAAATAAAACATTACACAAAAATAAAACAACAAACAATGAAATGTGCAACTAAAGACAACAACGTGTCATGGAATTTAAACGAATAAAGTTAATGTAAAATTTTATGGACTTCAACTAAGACAAAATAATTACATGACTATATCAGCTAAATCAAGTAAAAATATGGTAAATCATAGTAAATCATGAAAAGAAATAATGCGCAAAAAGAGCAATTAAAATGTTATCAAATTATAGGCGGAACTGCGAACAATAACAATACACAAGCAAGGAGAAATCTAAATAAAAAACATGAGCAACAAAACATTCCAATTTCCGCACTAGTAATATTTACAAACCCAAATAGAATAGTAGTACAATGCTTAAAGTAATTAATAATACAAAAAAGGAAAAAACAATAGAGCCTAAAGAATAAATAAGTTTAAACAAAAAAATTTCAGTAACATAAAATAATATAAGTGGCGCCAAAATCAGATGAAGCACGGAGCTTGAAATAGCAGGAAGAAGACAGTAATTTGCCGAAGAAACTTGCAATGAAAGAAGAAGAAACTTACCAAAGCTAGGGCATATTGAATTACATAATTGCTAACTGCAGCTCCATCTGGCTTTATAACAAAAAAAAAAAAGTAAGCACCACATGCGAAAATTAAAATACCTAGCACACAATTCTTATGTATTTATATATCTGGCACCTAAACTTTCATATTTGCATACATAGCATTTTGGAGCTTTAAACCTATGCATTAAAAGGTGTGTTTCAGTTTTAAATAGTGATAATAGTGCTATTATTTATGTGATATTAAAGATTTGAACGCTATGTGTGTAAATATGAAAGTTTAGGTGTGAGATATGTAAATTCATAAGAATTGTCTGCTATGTATGTATATGTCCCTAAAACATAAGTTAGGATCACAAGATGATTACACGACATCCAATAAGACGATGCAATAATTGCTGAAGTGCGGTCAATTGTTCTAACAACTCTTCAGAATTCAACTCTCTCATTCTACTTTGGCCCTGGTAGATGCATCTGGCTTTCAGCTACTTATTTTTACAAGAAACAGTAGGAAAAACCATAAATGGCAGCTTTGCAATAGTGAAAAAAAACACTTTAATTTCGATACCTTTTCTGATACGTCAGTCGGTTTAGAAAGGCATTCGGTTTCAATGTCATACTTTAATAACCGGAAGCATACCAATCTTTCCTCCAGAAATAATGCATAAGTTCGAACCCATGCAGAGCAATCCCAAGCTGCAAAAGCAGTTATTCGGGGCAAAAAAATAAGGACACTTACATGCATACCACTCAATTCCTATGTGTTTACA